TGTATTTCTCTCACACTAATGGAAGGGCCTAAACCTGGGGTTCTTTTCATAATCTTTCAACTGTGGGCTCCTACACTGTCGAGTCTTACCCAGTACTTCGGGTCTCAAACTGACAGGAAAGAGTGACATGCATAATGAACTGGGTGTTTAACATGACCAAAGCACTGAAATCCAGGTAGATGTCACTAGGACAATATAATTTATAGACAACTTTTTTATCATGTTGGCTGAAAAAGTGCCTCAGATTGCCTAGCAGCCTGTTGTGCTTTTGATAAGGGTACTTTCACGTACAATTTCAAATTCATATTCCGCTGACACTGATCAAGGAAAATCTGTGTTGTAAGTACTCCCCTACATCCTACCACTTAAATTAGTAACTTAATCCTTACAAAAGTTCCTAAATTGTGTTTTGCCATTTTCACCATTTTATTGTTACAAAAAAAAGATGATGTAGAGAGGTTACAAAAGAAAATAATAAAATTTTAAACCTAATCCTATAGTGGTGCACTTATTATAGAGACTATGCATGTGTATGTAATATTTGTGTTTACATCATTACTGGACACTAGTTACTGAAAAGATATTGTACTCTACAAGAGCTGTGTGTGTGTGTGTGTGTGTGTGTGTGTGTGTGTGTGTGTGTTGCTAGGTATCATTTAACAGATACAAAACAGAAATTTATTAACTTGTCCAAGGTGACAATGCTTTTACAAGGTAGAGCCAGTGGTCTGATTCAGACTGGCTTCGCTTCATAACCCTTACTCTCGGCCACTTCAACATACTGCTTGGAGGTGGATTTCAATTTCCATCTCCAATTTTTATTTCTCTTCCATCACTAATGGACTATACTTTGGAGTCCCTAATGAACTTATTTAAATCTTACACAGTAAAATTTATAGACTTAAATATTTTCTATCAGCAGCTTCTCAAATCACCCAGTTTCTGCCAGATTAACCCTTGCTTGGCCCATTGCGGTTTTTTGTAAATTTAACTGATTTGGAGGTACGCTAATTTGACCATTCTGTTTAAGGAACAGCAGGAGCTGACAACCTAACCTTTGGGCACCTAGAAGACCTTATGGATGTTCTGCTCTTAGATTGTGTTTCATCTCTATTGTTAGGTGTGTTTGCAGAGTGAAAGGGAAGTACACATCCATGGCTACCCTACACCATAACTGAGTTTGCAACTACCAAGAAGAAGAAATGTCCTGCAGAGATAGCACTGTGTTAAAATACGCATTCCATTCAGTACAATCTAGCCAGCCACATGCATGTGCCTGGTTTTGCTCTCACAGATAGACTCAGTTGCAGCTGTAATCTACCTTTAAATGCTACGTTTGTCCCTCTGAAAAAAAAAATTTCATCTTTAAAAACTTAGTCTTAGTTACCCAAAACAAAGTTTATCAATTCCCTTGTGTTTTAGTAGCAACAATGAAAAGAGACAATTTCTTGAATGAAAAACTGACAAGTGACAGTGATTAATGACATTTTCGTTTATTGGCTTGGCTGTAGGCCAAATGTGAGCAGTGCTTCCCAAGACCCCTTGTTGGTAAAATTGCAGGAAAACACAGGTGCAAATACATTACATATAACGTCGTAGAAGAGGGCTGACATCCAAGAAAGTCTACCTATTTTAGTTGATGTATTTTGTACTTTGCTAAAAAAGAAATGTTAGTCAAATTTGTTCCAACACAGTTGGATGCTCTATTTTCTCTTTTGGTCTACATATTGTTTTCAAAGCCAATCAAGATAAATGTGAAAAATCTCATGCTAATTCCTATTTCATAGTTATTTTACATTTCTGATGGTGTTTTACTTTTTAATTTTCACTTCCAGACTTAAATTTTGTCTTCATAAGAAATGTACTGACTTTCAAACCACGGAGTATTTGTCTTCATTTTCCTTTCTTTATGTGCCACAGGACAGTCTCTGTCCTTGAAAAGCTTCCATTCCTATTGGGAAAACCTAAGTTCCCCTGCTGAATGCTCACAGGACAGCATCTCCTGCAGCACCATTAACATCCCCCTTGCTTCAGTTATGCAATTTATTTCTCTTTCCACCATCTCATCACTGAGATCCCAGATTTGTAATATTTATGCATCAAATGTTCTCAGTAAAGTTATTGACTGTGATGTCCCCATAGGAGAGACAGAAAAGTCAACTCAGGCGTTCTCACTCTACAGACAGAGATAAAGGAAGTAAAAGACAAGGAATACATACTTATTCATTCTTACTGAGGGAGAAATAAAGTGGAAAACTTCTGATGAAAAGACAACCCGTAATATGAAAATACTCAAATACGTATACTGGATAAATAAAAATTATTTTGTAAGCCAAAATAGGCTTATAAAGAAAAGGAAATGACCATAATTTTTAAAATGCATATCTGCTTTGCTATCACATCTTGGGGCGACATAGAATGTTACCCAATATTTTCAGAAAATCATCCAAGTGCTCTAAAATATTATGTGAATCTCTCCTGACATACTCTCTGGATTTAAATATTATTAAAGCATTTATTCCTATCAATTAAATGAATATATCTCCAGTGAAACCAATACCTAGACTCAGGTTTACAATCCCCCACTGTATACTGATACTGTGAGAAAGAAATAAAGTTATATTAGCAATAACTTTAATATGTTGAAATTTTGTTATGATTTTTAAAGTCTTCTTCCCTTAAGGCATTTGAGCACCACAAAATTGAACAGAGAATTTGAAATGCAACCATAATCCATCACCAACTGTTTAAAATGTAGTTCTTCAAATGTATCCAAACCATCAATTCCCATTTCATTGTCAAAATTACTCCACATTCACACTTCAGCTGAATGGCATTCAGACTCAGGAAATTCAATCCATTGGGGCATTTGAAAGTGAGTGGGGGTATTTTAGGCAGTCTAGCAAAATGAAGACCTGTCCCAGGGGCAGCCCCATGGACATAACTCCCTATGGTCTCTTTGCAACAGAAAAAAAATGGAACAGAAGAACCACATAGGAGCCGATGTCAACTCTAAATCTGTGGGTATCCCAGGGTGTCCAAATGATCTCAAGTGGACTAAAGACTTTTGTTAAAAATAACTCAAAGTGGAATTTTAGAACCAATTTTAAAAGAAAATACTGTTTAGTTTATGTTCAGAAGATCTTAGAATTTTGCTGGATATAAACTTCCAGCTAAAGGGTCTCTACCATTACCCTACAGCCTGTCACAAAGGAGGTTGGCACAAAAATTAGGATGTGGTAACTCATCTACAGTGGATGCACTGTATGGACTCGGTCAATGGATAAATATTCTGAACAGTGCAAAGTGCAGATATCAAAAGTAACCAGCCATTTTCCTGTTCCTGTGTTGTTTTATATTGAATTGTTGGGGAAACAAATAACTATTGTACATAATTTAACAGATTAAGTACTTTTAGAAAGAAGAGAACAACAGAAAACAATCCTATCAAAGATTTTTCTCCAAATCTCTGATAATCATCCAAGTGCCATGGAGTCACTTAGAATAAGAATTTATTTCAATTTTTAGTAAATTTAAAATGTTTTCTGTCTATTAAAGTGTATTCAATATTATCGATTGAATATGTTATGAGAAGTTTGATCACTAGTGTTCTCTTTTTAAGATTTGAAATTGTATTAAATCACTTGTCTTCCATTTATTTGGAGGACTTTATTGGGCAGTATTTCCTTTTATCATTAGTTCATCCAACCCCAAATAAGCTTCTTAGAAGAAAACTCCTGTAGACAAAATTCTGAACTACACAATTTGTGAGAAAACAAAGACAAAGGATGAAAGATTTATTCTCTAAGAATATGTAACTTTCAGGTCCTGTTTGATAAAATAAATAACAAAAACATCTGAAAAATGCTGACAACACCAAAGAAATTCTTGACAACATATTAAACTGGGTCACTACTCTACCGTCACATAAAACAATAAATAGAGTAACATGCATGTTCATTTTTCCACGTCCCATTCTGTCCTAAGTGCTCTTATGAAAACACAAATTAGCCCTTAACTGCCTGATCATCTCACTATTCACCAACAAAAACTGTGAAACTAACTTTGCACTGCCTCAGAGAAATGTCTATAATTCATCATTTTTATTCTGATCCTGTTTCAAATAGGCATTCCTCTCTAATGCAATGACAAAAAAGTAGCACTGCAGTATTAGAATGACATTTTTATGATACCTTTATCAGACATATTCAGTGAAATTCTTTTCTATTTGTCTTCTTTTACTTTTCTATTCTGCCAGTCATCAACTGGATGGAAAGTTTAAAAAATAAAATCTCTCTGTTCCCTCCTCTTTTAATATATACATGTACTACATAAACTGCATAGGTATATAGTTAGATGTTTGATGATAGATACATAGATGGATAATAGATTGATATAGACAATAGTCTACCCAGTTCAGCACATTTATTAGTTTTGAACCTATTATAAGAGTAAAGAAAGAAGGGAAGGAAAGAGGGAGTCAGGGGAGGAAGGAGGGAAGTTTTCTTTTCCATATTCAATTATACAGGACCGGCATTTTCTAACATTATTTCAGGCAAATTCAATCCTAAGAAAAGATAGCTCTGGTCCTTCTTAAACCAGTGTTATCATTTTTCAGGGGCCCATGTTCTGAATTATTACTGACTTAGGCCTTTGGATATTCCTCCTCCTTCCTGCCATCTGTCTCTAGACAACTCCATAGATCAGCACATCAATCAAAAGACTAGAAAAACCATTAGAGATTAAATTAAAATCTCTAAATTCGTTTTGTGCACATCACTTGCAGGAGCTTCGGTAAATGAAAAATTAAAAATGACTATTACTTCCATTCATTTGGGTTTGTCTCATTTTAACAGAGACCATCTAAAACAAACACCCAACAGGCTCCACTGCAGATTATAATCCGCCCCAAGCAGATCACTGAAAAACAAGTCTTCACCCACAGACCCCTTCACTGACTCTCTGGTCTTCTGTGTACACCTATAATTCTGCAGAAATACCTTTCTCTGTAGCCATCCGCAGGGTGTTCTTTGTCAAATCCACTGACCTCTTCACAGTTCTCTCCTTGTTTTATTCTGTTGCATTTGCCATTCTAGAATAGCTTCTCTCAGAATCTCTCTTGTGGTCTTGGTAAAAGTCCTTTCATTACCTGGTCCTGTAACCTCTCTTGACAGTCTCCTTCCAATCATCAGCAAGGTTTCTTCACAGGCCCAGAACTCACTCTGAAAAAGGGCATCAGAACTTCCAGTCAGCTTTTCAGTACTTAACTTTAAATACAGATGCACACCCATGTGGTATAGAACATCTGAAGAAAGGCTTCGACATGATATAAAGAGCACAAAAATACAGGAAAAAAATAAGTGGGATACAACTGGGATAATGCAGGGCACAGAGGGAGAAAAGTATCGAAAACTTCTTGTTTTGTGGTAATTGTCATTAACTAGTCTGTGCCTGTGTTATTTATGTTTAGTTAGCTTAATGATTCCACAGAGGTTTCCTTAAATACTTGGGAATAAACCTTCCAGTATTTACCAAGATTTTCTATGCATATGTGTGCATCTTGGGGTGCACATTTGACCTCAGTTTGGTATTTTGCAACTCTACTTTAGCTTTCTTTTCTTTTTTGTATAGAAACTCAAGTTTAGCCAGGGGTGAAAGGAATCACAGGGCTCCGGTTCCTTCCTGAGCACACACGCAGTCTGGGTCATGCACACAACTGTACACGCTTTCCTTGGTTTTAGAATCCCGAGGTTAGATCTGAGTGTGTTTAAGTCTCTTTGAACATGTCATTTCTGCAGATTTTCCTTTTGAACAATTTGGTTAAACTCTTTGTTGCCCAAGCTTTTGTAAAATTCCCTAAGAAGCCACTGTGTTGAGCAGTTTCTTCACAGCAGAAATCTTTAGGTGATATTTGATTTTTTTTTTTTTTTTTTTTTTTTTT